GTTCCTATCAAGCACTGCCTCTCCTTGTCCTTGACCAAGGGGATGAACAAATCCCATACTCTCCAGCTTCCATTTTCTTCCCTTGTAAAACAACCATGGCGGTTGACCATAAAAACCCAGAGACAACTGCCGTAAACTACCAGAGCTGCTGGTTGAGACATATTAGAGACCGTTCTGGCACCATCTCCAGTGTTTATTCTTGGCTTACCACCTCTTCCTTCTCCAATTCCTATCAGTCTCATGCATCTCATGCAAAGATGGGAGTTTCTTCACATTTCCTTAAACACTGTGAAGACCTAACCAGTGAACTAATCTCTGCACAACATACACCCCAAGAGCTCCTTGGCATAACATTGTGAAACCTGGAACAGTGGGAGGATATCTAGGCCTCCTGGGCCCAAAGATCCATGGAAGCCAAGGAAGAAGATGTGTTCTCACACACACACACACACACACACACACACACACACACACACACACAGAGAGAGAGAGAGAGAGAGAGAAAGAGAGAGAGAGAGAGAAAACGCGTTCTGAAGCCCTTCATATGAGAGGGTGTTTTGATTCACCTGTGACTGGTCTTGTACCCATGAGGAATGCTGCCCACTCAGTGGGGAGGCCTCTGGGCTGCTGCCTTCCTGTCTTTCTATTTATATCAGGCCAGACCTGGGCAGGAAACAGATGGCACACTCAAATTGAGTAATTCGAGGAGAGTTGAATAAAGGGACTATTTGCAAAGGTACAAGCAGGATGTAGGGAAACCACAGGGGTAGTGCAATAAGTAACAGCTACTTGGCCACCCTAGGCCTCAAGAGGTCAGGGACAGTGCACTCACCAGAACCTGTAGACTATGCCCTGCATGTTTAGGGCCACCTGACAAGCTCTGTGACCATGTGTCAAAGGATGGAGCCAGCCCAGAGGTGATCCCCCAGGTCTCCCACACCCTTTCCTCCTCTGATCTCCTGCCTAGGACATCCACTGGCTAAACCCAACTGGAAGCCAAAGGGTAACCCAGCCCATTGATACGATGAGTGGCATAGAGCAGAGTGGAAAAGAATCAAGAGTGGCAAACCAAAGTATTCAGCATACTAACCTAACTAGCACTAACTAACACTAACTAATATAACTAACACTAATAGCGTTAATACATAACACTGTTTAGGGTGGGAGGAAGACTGGGGCTCTGGAGTAACTCTGCCCCTGTCTTGCCATGTGATTGTGGGCAAGTTACTTGACCTCTCTGTGCATCAGTATTCTCATCTGTAAAGTGGCGCTAACAACGCCAGCCTCAGAACTGTAGTGAGGATTAATGTTTCATTTCTCTCATCTAGAGATAACATAAAGGACGGGTGCAGTGGCTCATGCCTGTAATCCCAGCACTTTGGGAGGCCGAGGCAGGTGGATCACTGGAGGTCAGGAGTTCAAGACCAGTCTGGCCAACATGGTGAAATCCCGTCTCTCCTAAAAATACAAAAATTAGCCAGGTGGTGGCCCACAGCTGTAGTTCCAGCTACTGAGGTGGCTGAGGCAGGAGAATCATTTGAACCCAGGAGGTGGAGGTTGCAGTAAGCCAAGATCACGCCATTGCACTCCAGCCTGGGTAAAAGAGGCAGACTCTGTCAAAAACAAAAAATTAAAAGAGAGAGATAATGACTGGGTGTGGTGGCTTACACCTGTAATCCCAGTACTTTGGGAAGCTGAGGTGGGCGGATCACAAGGTCAGGAGTTCGAGACCAGCCTGGCTAACATGGTGAAACCCCATCTTTACTACAAATACAAAAATTAGGTGGGCGTGGGTGTGGATGTCTGTGATCTCAGCTACTTGGAAGGCTGAGGCAGGAGAATCACTTGAAATCATAAGGTGGAAGTTTCAGTGAACCAAGATCATGCCACTGCACTCCAGCCTGGGCGACAAGCATGAACTCTGTCTCAAAAAAAGAGAGAGAAATAATGCAGGTGAAGCATTTAGCATATGGTAAACACTTGATGAAAACTAAATCCTTTCCCATCTTCCTTCTCTCCTTCCTTCCCTTCCTCTCTTTTTTCCTCCTTTTCCTTCCTTACCTCCCTCAGGTAAATGTGTGGGGATAGGGTCCTACACTTTGTATGTGACACTATTATATGCACTTGACCATATTAGTCGATTGATGGTTGAAAGGCCCTTTCCTTCCTTGGAGGCTTCATTACAACCTGCAAGTAATCCACCCAGTCTTGGAGCCTCCAGCAGTTACTGTGGTTTAAAAAGTTCCTGCTGGGGTGGTTGACATGGTCCTATCTCTTTTCACAGGTGGTTACAAGGTTACTAAAATGTTTACTTTATGCTTTTTGAAGTTGTATATTTGTTTTATGCTGTTGTCTATATTTGTTTTATATTTAACAATTTAAGAGTTTTTAAAATATTTTCAAAATTTCATGAAACCATGAAAAATAAAAACTTTTTTCTTTTCCCCTGAGATGGAGTCTTGCTCTGTCACCCAGGCTGTAATGCAGTGGTGTAATCTCGGCTCACTGAAATCTCCGCTTCCCAGGTTCAAGCATTTCTCCTGCCTCAGCCTCCCAAGTAGCTGGGATTGCAGGCACCCGTCACCACACCGGGCTAATTTTTGTATTTTTAGTAGAGATGGGGTTTCACTATGTCGGCCAGGCTGGTCTCAAACTCCTGATCTTGTGATCCACCCACCTTGGCCTCCCAAAGTGCTGGGATTACAGGCATGAGTCATTGCACTGGCATTTTGTTTTGTTTTGCTTTTTGAGACAGAGTTTCACTCTTGTTGCCCAGGCTAGAGTGCAATTGCGGCTCACCACAATCTCTACCTCCTGGGTTCAAGCAATTCTCCTGCTTCAGCCTCCTGAGTACCTGGGATTACAGGCATGAGCCACCAAGCCCGGCTAATTTTGTATTTTTAGGAGAAACGGGGTTTCTCCATGTTGGTCAGGCTGGTCTTAAACTCCCAATCTCAGGTGATTAGCCCACCTTGGCCTCCCAAAGTGCTGGGATTATAGGTGTGAGCCAGCGCACCTAGCTGAAAAATAAAACCTTTTTATTTTCTGCTTTTCCCCAGTCTGCTATTCCCTGTGGTTAGGATGGATCTGAATTATCGCCAGGTTCTCAACAAAAGGCCTCTGAAAAGATTATTTTACTGGTGACAAGAGGACCTGGGGACACTTATTTCTTCCTGATCACATATTTCTTCCTGTTCACAGATGCAAGAAACTCAGGCTGGGTCTAAATGCTTTTCCTGAACGTAGCCTTGGGACAGTTACAGGGGATGCTCCACACACCTGTACTTTTCCTGCACAGTTCTGTGATACTTCTTGACTATTGCCAAAATCCCTGCCCTTCAATATCCAGTTTGATCACTGAACAAGTGGCTTCCTCTCTTCTCTTTCAGCCTCTCTCAGCCTCCTTAGAGGTCCGAGTGCCTGTAGTGTGAGACTCCTGTTCTCTGCCAAGTAGCTCTCCCACTGTTTCCAGGTCCTGATCTCAACACTACTTTTAAGCAGGTGCCACCGCAGAGTGGAGGAATGCTTTTCGAAGCCATTCACCTGGCATTCTCCCTTTCTTTTGCAATGTAATGTCTCTCTCCATCCTTCTTTCAGTCTATGTTTTACCAAGGGAACAAAAAGCTCCCCATGCCTAAACACTCATCGAGACTCAAAGTTCCACAGTGACAGGAATGGTATCTTTCCATGTTTTCCTAAGCTATATTGCCTGTCTGAGTAGTTGACACAGAATAGGAGCTCAAGAAATAGTTCTTGAATTGAATTTTCCTTCTCTTCTTGCCTGCATGAAAACCATCTATCTCTTCAGCCTAGCGTGATCAGTCTAATGGACTGCAAACTAGGGAGAGGGATTTTGCCCTCTCTGGGAGTTGGTTTTCCTACGGCAGCAGCAGCATGTAAAAAGGTGGGATGGGAGGTAGAGAGGAAGGAGCAGGCACTTTAAAAACTTTTGAGGTTCATTTGTTTTTAAAATTAATCTATAGCTTTTCTCTTTCTTCTCCTTAGCATAAGATGCTTCTGCTCTCTTGTTAAGGATCTCATAGCTGATCCTTTTTGCTTATATTTGTTTATTTTGTCTCTGGAACAATCAGAAACAAACTTCCAGCTCCTTCCATTCTCCACCCAACAAAGCTGGCACTGGAAGAGCAGACGTCCCAGTGCTTTTGATGTTTTCACTTTTGCTAACACTAGGCAGGGCCTGGAGATGAGAGAGTGAGCTGGCCATTTAGCTGCTGTGTGCCTCACCTTTCCTCATCCGCAGCTGGGTAGCTGGGAGTAATCCATAAGGAATAGTGTGTGCTTGCTGCTGTTGGGATGAAAAGTTCCAGTGTGTGAAACGTGTGATTTATGGCTCTGAGGCATTCAGATCCAATTGGTGGGTGACAGCAGCCAAAGCAGGGGCCTCCTAGCCGCTAAGCTACAAGGTGTCTTCCCACGATGAATCAGGACACAATTTGACTAAATCAGCTGCTTTCCTTTTCCCTCCCAAGTTCCAAAGTCCAAAGGCTTTCCTGCTGACTCCAGTGGTTACTTTATAAAGGGGAAGAGGAAGTAAAGGGGCTGACTCCCTCTGAAGGCTCTCTGCTGGCTCTAAGGATGCCTCCCAAACACCATTGTAATTAATATCTACCCTTCCTTCTCTCCCCAGTTAACGCCACTCTCACTGGGGCTACAAAACTCAAGTGACCGCAAAAAGCCCAGAGAGCAAGGAGCCACTCCTAGCACTCTCATCCCCTAAAGATGAAACTCCAAGTATTTGCAAATAAATACTCCCCGCAGCAATATTTGTCCAGAAGGACATCATAGTTGTCCGAACGCCCACTAGGAGGACCTTTTGCCAAAATGAATGGGAAATCATTGGCCCAATTAACATTCTGTGATCTTAGATCTAAAAATGACCCGGAGCCGGGTAAACAAGGTGACGTCAGCGGACTGGGCAGGGAGCGGCTCTCTACTGCCACCTCGAGGAGAGTGTACGCAACGGCGCGGCGGCTCCGGGCCCAGGGGAAAGCAGACCTGGGACCGCTGGAGGGGAACTGGGGGAAACTGGCGGGCGTTGGGAAGGCGCGGAGAAGGGAAGAAACTCACAGAGGGGCAAGAAGCTCCTCCGCGACCCCAGCTAGAGGAAAACGAGGGCCGCGTAATCCAGGCCGTTGGCTGGCTTCTGAATCCTGGGAGCATTCTTTTTATAAAAGGAGTCAGATACCGTGAACGCTCGCCAGATAAACTGGCTAAAACTGGGTGGGGACACAATCCCCAAGGCTGGACACCCTTAATGAAAAGAGTTCCCAAATTTCCAGTCCTGGAGGGAGCAGCAGTGGCATGACTAGGCTCATCGCAGAGGCTGCTGGATTTGGGGTTTTGCTTCGGGTTTTGCCCCGGGCTTCGCTGGGACTGGGGCGGAGGAGGGCGTGCAGGGGTGGAATAGCCCTAATTTGCTTTCCCGTCAGGCGAACGCGAGGAGGCGGCTGCGGAGCTTTCTGCAAGACAGAGGCATGCTGGGAGATGCCCCAGAAATGCGCGGGGCCTGGGGTCGGGCAAGGTCAGCTGCGCATGACTGCCTTTCCCCTGCAGCTGATCCACAAAAGGAAAATGAGTTGGTTTTTAAATGGATGAAAACAAACACCAACTCACTTTACTTGTGGATGCGTTTTGCTGGGTTACAAACCACCTCAAAGTGCTGAGAACCAGGTAGGAGAACGGAGGAGGAAGGGTTCTCCCGGCAGAGAGAGCCTCCTCCTTTCATGGGAGAAGGCGGTGAAGGCGAGTGGTGCTGGAGCACGGGGAAAACGGAAGAGCACACTCCCAGGGGTCAAGTAGGGCCTCGTGAGTCCCAGGAGAATGGATCTTCACACTAAAAATAATGGGTTTGGCAGGCCAAAGGTGGGAGAATTGCTTGAGCCCAGGAGTACGAGACTACTCTGGGCCACATATTAAGACTCCCGTGTAACTGAAATAAATAAATACATAAATTAAATAATAATGGGAAGCTTTTTTTTTTTTTTTTTTGAGGCAGAGTTTCACTCTGTTGCCCAGGCTGGAGTGCAATGGCAGGATCTCAGCTCACTGCAACCTCCACCTCCTGGCCTCAAACGATTCTCCTGCCTCAGTCTCCAGAGTAGCTGGGATTACAGGCACGTGCCATCACACCTGGCTAATTTTTGTATTTTTGGTAGAGACTGGGTTTTGCCATGTTGGCCAGGCTGGTCTCAAACGCCTGACCTCAGGTAATCCAACCTTCTCAGCCTCCCAAAGCGCTGGGATTATAGGCATGAGCCACCACACCTGGCCTAATTTTTGTATTTTTAGTAGAGTTGGATTTCACTGTATCGGTCAGGCTGGTCTCGAACTCCTGACCTTAGGTGATCCACCTGCCTCAGACTCCCAAAGTGCTGGGATTACAGGCATGAGCCCCTGCCCTCAGCCAACTATTTAAGGGCTATATTGGTGAGAAGGTTTTTTAGCTACATGTAACAGAAGACCCAACTAGAAGTGACTTAAACATAAGGATATTTATTATCTCATATAACAAAAAGCCAAAGACAGGTGCTTCCAGAGTAGTTGGGGTTGTCAATGTTGTCATGAAAGATCCTTTTGACTATCCTCAGCCTATTGGACTTGCCCTTAGGTTTGTTAACTTACAGCCGCTCCAGCCCCAGGTATCATATAGACGTGATTCCATCTAGCCAAAGAAAGTTAAAATTTTTTCCCTTGCAACTTTTTACAAAAGAGGAAAACCTTTCCCAGAAACCCCCAGAAGACTTGCCCTCAGGCCCTGTTAAAGAAAAAAATTATTGGCCAGGTGTGGTGGCTCACGCCTGTAATCCCAGCACTTTGGGAGGCCGAAGTGGTTGGATCACGAGGTCAAGATAACAAGACCATCCTGGCCAACATGGTGAAACCCTGTCTCTACTAAAAATACAAAAATTACCCAGATGTGGTGGCGCACACCTGTAGTCCCAGCTACTTGGGAGGCTGAGGCAGGACAATTGCTTGAACCTGGGAGGTGGAGGCTGCAGTGAGCTGAGATCATGCCACTGCACTCCAGCCTGGTGACACAGCAAGACTCCATCTCAAAAAAAAAAAAAAAATTATTTAATGATACTTTTTTTTAGAGACGGGGTTTCACCATGTTGGCCAGGCTGCTTTACAGACTCCTGACCTCAAGTGATCCGCCCACCTTGGCCTGCCAGAATGCTGCGATTACAGACATGAGCCACTGTGCCCAGCTGATGATAACTTGTGAAAGCACAGTGAGGAAGACTTATTCAGGACCGTTGTCATAGGTGTAGGGACTACTGAAATGGGATTTTGCAGTGCAGGTAAAAGATTGGGCTCAACTCTGACAGCAAGGGCAAATGAGAATTTAAGCTAAGAAGCTGGGTTGGGGGTAGTGGATGGAAGATTACTAAGAGAAAACAGAAACTGGGCACAGTGGCTATCACCTGTAATCCTGGCACTTTGAGAACCTGAGGTGGGAGGCTTGAGGCCAGGAGTTCAAGACTGACCTGAGCAAGATAGCAAGATTTCATCTCTACATAAACTAAAAAAATTAGCTGGGCATGGTGGTGTATGCCTGTAGTCCCAGCTACTCAGGAGGCTCAGGTGGGATGATCGCTTGAGCCCAGGAGTTCAAGGTTACAGTAAACTACGATTATGTACTACTATGTAGTATTGCACTCCAGTCTGGGTAACAGAGCGGGACAGGGAGGAAGGGAGGGAAGGAAGGAAGGAAAGAAAAGACAAGAAAGAAGAAACGCATTCGGGTTAGGGGAATTTCTGGCTAAACTGACCTAACAGGATTCTTGTTGAAGGCAGCCCAGGGTGATCAATTATCATCTGGAAGATGATAGAAAATGAGGAACTCAGTCAGATATTAAAGGCAATCAGACATTGAGGGTGGGAGATTCTTGCCAAGTTGACTTAGCAGGGTTTTTGCTAAAACTGGATTTTACAAGGAAGTACACAGATGGGCCTAGGAGAAAGTTCAGAAGCCTGACTAAAGTTCAGCCAAGCAAAGAATTTAGGTCAGCCTCACTGGTCACAATTAGGTTATGTGCCCAAGTCCTACTTGAAGGAAGCTGAGGAGCCTGTCTCATGGGAGGAGGTTTCTGCCAGCAAGGAGGGAGGGAGAGGGAAATGGTCTCTTGGAGAGGCAGCAAACAGGATGCCTTATGAGGGTATGGGTTGATATCATCAGAAATGCAGTCTAAAGTTGTTTCTCTGGCTGCCAATTTCTGCACACGGCACCTGTTATCACCTCTACTGGCTAGAGCAGCCCCTATTCTTTTTGGACTAGTTCCTACTCACCATCCTTCAGGTCTCAGATTAAGAATAATTTCTTCCTGGAAGCCACCTTCTACTCCTTCCACAGTTGGCTGTTCTTTTACTATATTTTTTCCTAATTTTTTTTTTTTTGAGACCGAGTCTTGCTCTGTTGCTCAGGCTGGAATGTAGTGGCGCGATCTCAGCTCACTGCAATCTCTGCCTCCTAGGTTCAAGCAATTCTCCTGCCTCAGCCTCCCAAGTAGTTAGGATTACAGGCGCATTATTTTTAGTAGAGACCAGCCTGTATGTTGGCCAGGCTGGTCTCAGACTCCTTATCTCAAGTGATATGCCTGCCTTGGCCTCCCAAAATACTAGGATTACAAGTGAGAGCCACTGCGCCTGGCCCTAATGTTTTTTAAAGAGTCTCTCTCTGTGTTGCCCAGGCTAAAGTATAGTGGTTATGCAAGTGGGTGATCATAGCACTGTCTCAAACTCCTGGCCTCAGTGTTCCTGTGTCAGCCCCCTGGCTTGGCTGTTCTTGTGGTATGTTTCGATACCATCCTACATTTCCCTTACCAAAGCTGGAATCGTATGACAATCACTTGTTTAAACCATAAGCTAATTAACTAGAAGCATCAAGAGTACCAAAGCTAGACCCCATCTGTCTTGCTCATCATTATCTCTTTGCAGGTAGTCTAGTGCCTGGCATGTAGTATGTGCTGAATAAATATTTTTTTAGATAAATGAATAAGCAAACAATGAATAAAAGCAGTTGAAGGCATTTCAATCTCACAGGTTTCTGACGCTTTTAACCCTTTGTACCAGAAACCCCCAAGGCCTCTGGGACAGCAGTGGGCCAAGAATCTCAGGACTCACACTACTGTCCTTGGCAAGGGGGCACATCAAACCCCACAGACGACTAGGCTGGAAGTGACAGCTCAGTTGTGAACTAATCCAGACTAAAATTCAAATGGTGGGTCATTATCTCCTCATTGGAGACATTGGCTTCTTGTGGGAGAACTGCAAAGTGGGAAGTGGGGCTGCCATAGATCATTGTGCGGTATTGGTGGGTTCCAGCGTGAGTGCAGTGTTGCCTAAGAAACACTTCTAATTTCCGTTTTTGTTTTTTTTTTTTGAGATAGAGTCTCACTCTGTTGCCCAGGCTGGAATGAAGTGTCAGGATCTCAGCTTACTGCAACCCCTGCCTCCTGAGTTCAAACGATTCTCCTGCCTCAGCCTTCCATGTAGCTGGGATTACAGGCACCCGCCACCATGCCCAGCTAATTTTTGTATTGTTAGTGGAGACAGGGTTTCACCATGTTGTCCAGGCTGGTCTCGAACTTCTGACCTCAGGTGATCCACCCACCTCAGCCTCCTAAAGTGCTGGGATTACAAGCGTGAGCCACTATGTCTGGTTCACTTTTAATTTCCTTTTGATTCACTTTTATCACTAGTTCATTCTGTGACCTCCACTGATTATATTATGTGTGCAAAGACACAATACCCTTGTCCATGTCCAACCTACTTTGTGACATTGTTTATTTCAGAACGAGGTTTACCGAAAATGCCCTGTGCCAGAGAGGCAGGAGTCACTTATGCAGGTATCACATGTGGATGAAAACATCAGGGAGAGCTTCTTTGAGGAGGCAGTATGATGTGTTGAGAAGAGCACTAGACTCAAGAATCTAGAAGGGCTTCTAGTCCTGATGCGTCAGAGTTTGAGTCTGGGAAGGTCAGCAGAAACCAGCAACCAAACTTCCTTTAGAGTCTTACTGAGTAGCAGGCTGGGTGCGGTGGCTCACGCCTGTAATCCCTGCACTTTGGGAGGCTTAGGTGGGTGGATTGCTTGAGGTCAGGAGATTGAGACCAGCTTGGGCAACATGGTGAAACCCCGTCTCTCCTAAAAATACAAAAATTAGCTGGGTGTCATGGCAGATACCTGTAATTCCAGTTACTCGGGAGGCTGAGGCAGGAGAATCACTTGAACCCAGGAGGCGGAGGTTGTAATGAGCTGGGATCATGCCACTGCACTCCAGCCTGGGCAACAGAGTGAGACTCTGTCTCAAACAAAAAAGAATAACAAGTTAAAAAAAGTAAAAAGTCTTACTGAGTAGCTTGGACTTTATCCTGTGTCCTTGGGCATGACAGGGTCAATCAGAGTTTGTGTTTTCATTATTGAGACAGAGTCTCGCTGTGTTGCTCAGGCTGAAGTACGGTGATGTGATCTCAGCAGCCTCAAACTGCTGGGCTCAAGTGATCCTCCCACCTCAGCCTCCCTGATAGCTGGGATTACAGGTATGCACCACCATGCCCAGGTAATTTTTAAATTTTTTGTAGAGACGGGGTTTCATCATGTTGCCTAGGCTGGTCTTGAACTCTTGGGTTCAGGCGATCTGTCTGCCTCCCAGAGTGCTAGGATAACA